AAAACAAGCTGCCAGATCCAGGACAGTGGTCGGCTATCTGGGAGTCCAGCGCCCCAACCACCACACCACCTGCTGGCCCCAGAGGTTTGTTTCTCTCTACAGGTCACAAGAACAAGGTATTGGCTAATCACACCTCAGGATGATGTCCAACAAATACCAAACAGAGAAAGAGAGAGTCTATTAGACAATACTAGTTAGCTAAAATGCAACTGGTAACTAGGGAAGTTATATCAGTATAAGATGAAAGTTGTGGAGATCAGCAGATGGCATGATGGTTATGTTGCTGGACTCCTACATGGTTGACAGTGGTTCAAGTTCTGGACCCAGTGGCTTCAGCCTTACACTGGACACAAAATCCTGACAGGAGAATGGAGGAGAAGGAATTGTTGTATGGCCATCCCCCTGGCATGTGATTTCTTCCTTTTTGTCTCTCTTTGGTTCTCCAGCAAGTGCACACACCCTATAGCAAAAATCTCTCTTTATGAAAGTTGTGATTATTTATATGTGCTTTTTCTTAGGCAGGGGAGCTAGGATAATGGGAGTAGAAACTATAATCTTCAAAAGAAAGGGAAAAGGCTCTCTACTCAACTACTGCACAGGCTGAGGTCTTTGGAGCATTATTTTAAGACAATGTTAAGAATGTCTGTGCCTAAGACTCCCTCCCCAAAGATGTGTGCCCCAGCTTCTCATAGCTCTTGAGTCTTTGCCGATTGCCCTTTCCCCTCTGCTTTGGGCTATCCTTGCAGGTTTATTGTCTTAGCTGCAGCAAGCAATAGAATTTTTGTTCTATTGTTTCTGTTCATTTTTAACATTCCCTGAGTCAGCCACCTACCCCTGGGCATGCTACCGGACTTCATTGTCCATGTTATTTTTTCCAAGGTACTAATCATTGTTTTGGTTAATTGTCCAGTTACAAAGTTGCACAACCTTTTAGGGATCTGTCAATCACTCTCTATCCCTATTTTTTCCCATAAATCTTGCTATTTTTGTGAGTCGTTTAGTGAAAAACAGA